CACTTTATATACCTCCCCCTCCCCTCCCCCTCCTTCCTCCATCCTCTCTCTCTTGATGATACCACCTCTAACCCATCTCACCTGGCCCCTCTCTCCTCTCTCTCTCTCTGCAGGTGGGCATCGCTGAAGCAGGCTCTGATCGAGAAGCGCAGCAAGCTCGGCGAGTCGCAGAACCTGCAGCAGTTCTCGCGTGACGCCGACGAGATCGAGATGTGGATCAGCGAGAGGCTACAGATGGTCGGCGACGAGGCGCTCAAGGACCCGACCAACATCCAGGCGAAGCACCAGAAGCACCAGGCGTTCGAGGCCGAGATGGCCGCCAACCAGGACCGCGTGCAGGCGCTGCTCACCGTCGGCCAGAGTGAGTGTCGCCCGTCTAGGCGCGCGTTCCGGCAGTGCGGGGCGGGGGTAGCAGTTAGCAGCGCGTGTTGACTGGGGGGAGGGGGGTTGTTTTGGTTGTCGTTTCGGTGACGAGTTGTGGAAAATTGTTGGTTATCTCTGTTCTGCGGTACCTGTTCCAGTTCTTCCTCTGCCTTTCCCTCTCCCTCTCCATGTTCCTCTCCACCTCCCTCTTCCTTCCCTTCTCCCTCGCCCTCTCTTCCTCCCCTTCTCCCTCTCCCTCTCTTCCTCCCCTTCTCCCTCTCCCTCTCTTCCTCCCCTTCTCCCTCTCCCTCTCTTCCTCCTCTTCTCCCTCTCCCACTTCCTCTTCTTCCCCTTCTCACTCTCCCTTTCTCTCTCCCTCTCTCTCTCCGTCTCTCACAGTCACGTGCGCTTTCTGTCTCTCTATCTGTATCTTTCTCTCTCTCTCGCTCTTACTCTCTCAAACTCCCCATCATTCACTCTGTCTCTCTCTCTCCCTGCCTCCCTCTCTCCCTCCCCCTTCCGTGCCCACCTCTTCATCTGCATAGCTGTACTGTGTTACTAACATTTCCTCTTTCTCTGGCTCTCTGTAGACCTGCTGGAGAAGGGTAAGTGTTCTGGCAGCGAGGATGCGGTGCAGGCGCGCCTCATGGAGATCGCCGAGCAGTGGGAGACGCTGACGAGCAAGTCGACCGAGAAGAGCATGAAGCTCAAGGAAGCCAACAAGCAGCAGTCGTACAACGCCGCCGTCAAGGACCTCGAGTTCTGGCTCGGAGAGGTGCGTGTCTCCGTGTACCACCCGCCTGTATGCGTGTCTGCGTGTACCGCTCGCGTGTGTGCGTGTACCGCTCGCGTGTGTGCGTGTACCGCAGGCCTGTCTGCGTGTCTGCGTGTACTGCCCGCGTGTTTGCGTGTCTGCCTTCCTGTCTGTCTGTGTGTCTGCGTGTCCCGCCCACCTGTCTGTGTGTCTGCGTGTCCCGCCCACCTGTCTGTGTGTCTGCGTGTACCGCCCGCCTGTCTGCGTGTCTGTGTGTCCCACCTACCTGTCTGCCTATCTGCCTGTCTGTCTGTCTGTCTGTCTGCGTGTACCGCCCACCTGTCTGCCTGTCTGTCTGCGTGTACCGCCCACCTGTCTGCCTGTCTGTCTGCGTGTACCGCCCACCTGTCTGCCTGTCTGCATGTACCACCTACCTGTCTGCCTGCCTGCATGCTTGCGTGTCTGCCCTCCTGTCTGCCTGTCTGCGTGTACCGCCCGCCTGTCTGCATGTCTGTGTGTACCACCTACCTGTCTGCCTGTCTGCGTGTGTGCCCTCCTGCCTGCGTGCCTGCGTGTCTGCCCTTTGCCCTCCTGTCTGCCTGTCTGCGTGTACCGCCCGCCTGTCTGCCTGTCTGCGTGTCTGCCCTCCTGCCTGCGTGCCTGCGTGTCTGCCCTCCTGCCTGTCTGCGTGTATCGCCCGCCTGTCTGTCTGTGTGTCCTGCCCCGACCTGTCTGACGGTTTGCGTGTCTCCGTGTCCCGCCCCTGCTTGTCTGCCTGTCTGCGTGTACCTGCCGCCTCTCTGCCTGTCTGCGTGTGTGCCCGCCTTAATGCCTATCTGCTCACTTGCCTGTTTTCCTGCCTGTCTATCTGTCAGGCTAGTTGGCTACCTGCCACACCAGCCTGCCTGCCTGTCTGTCTGTTAATAAACACGTACAAAGTTAGTCTCTTTCTGCCAAATTTTAAACCAGAAGTGCATAATTCTGCTATTACCCACAATCCTTTCATTTTTTGCTAGTAATACTACATCCGTGTAAGATAAACATGTAAAAGTAGTCTCTCTGTTTGGCAAATCTCGTGATATTAGCAAAGTTCTCACATTCTTCGCTTAAGCCGCTGTATTACGGCTGCATCGCGCTGTACTGCGTGTTGCTGTTGGGGGTGGCGACGGTCGGGCGTCACGGTGCACCGCTCACTTGTTTCAGGTCGAGACAATCGTGTCGAGTGACGACTACGGAAAAGACTTGGCTTCTGTGCAGAACATGCTCAAGAAGCATCAGCTGGCTGAAGCCGACATCGCTGTCCACGAGGTAAGAGGCTCTACTCATCGTCGTAACCCCGCTCATAGTGAGGTCGGCATTCGCTCGGCTTTCACATTTGCACGAAAAGCTAGGCATTCGGGTCAACGTCCGTGAAATTTTTTTTCAAGCCACGTGAAATTAGCAGAGCATAAAAATAATTGGCAGGGGGGAGGTTAGTTATGTATGTTATGAGGGCTAGTATTTAGTTGTCCAAACCAAAGGTTGAAATAATACGTGTTAGGTGTAAATGTAGAGTATTGTATAGCATTATTTGCACTAGACTAATGTCTGTGTGTGTGTTTATATGGCGAGGAATAGTGCTGTATCATTAGTAGATGAAGTCCTGTGTCTCTGTGTGTTTATGTGCGTTTTTAGGACGTGTGAGAGTTCTGTATCATTATCAGCAGCAGACTCGTGTCTCTGTGTTGTCAGTGTGTAGTTATAGAATGTGAAAAGAGTGCTCTATTAGCAGTAGCAGACCAACATCTCTGCGTGCGCGTGTGTCTGTTACTGGACCGCACGAACAAGCAGGTGAAACAAGGTGAGCAAGCAGGCAGACTCATGTCTCTGTAGCTGTAGCAGCGGGAGTAGATTTGGGTCTGTGCATATGTGTTAATATCACGTCTAAAAATGCTATGTTAGCAGCAGTAAACATGCATCACTGTTTGTGTGTTTGTATGTGTTAATAGCACGTGCAATAGTTCTATATGAGCAGCAGTAGACATACGTCCGTGTGTGTGTTTGTATGTGTGCAATAGTGCTATATGAGCAGCAGTAGACATACGTCCGTGTGTGTGTTTGTATGTGTGCAATAGTGCTATATGAGCAGCAGTAGACATACGTCCGTGTGTGTGCAATAGTTCTATATGAGCAGCAGTAGACATACGTCCGTGTGTGTGTTTGTATGTGTGCAATAGTGCTATATGAGCAGCAGTAGACATACGTCCGTGTGTGTGTTTGTATGTGTGCAATATTGCTATATGAGCAGCAGCAGGTATAC